AGACACCTGCTGAGGAGAGCTGCTGACAGGGAGCAGAACCAGCCCAAGAGAGAGAAGTGTGTTGCAGTCAGCAAAGATGAAAGGGTTGGAGATCTGAAGAGGGCTGACATCAACACGGAGATGCAGAGTTTGGAGTTTGCCCAGCTAGTTTTGCATCTTGTTTTGATCAACTCTTTCCTCACTATGCTCCCCTTCCTTTAAATGCATTTTGCATGTGCTATGGCTACAAGTCTATGGGGGCCAGGGTAGTAGTAGTTTGAATAGGTATGACCTATTCACATAGACTTGTATGTTTTAATGCTTGGCCCTTAGGAAGTGCAATGTTAGGAGGTGTGGCCTTGTTGGAGTAGTTGAAAGAAGTGTGTCACTGTGGGAATGGGCTTTGAAATCTCTTATGCTCAAACTACACCCAGAAGAGGGACATAGGTCTCATCTGCTGCCTGAGGAGATAGATGTAGAACTCTCAGCTCCTTCGCCAGCACCTTGTCTGCCTGCATGCAGCCATGCTTCCTGCCTTGATGATAACGGAATGTAAACCAGCCTCAACTAAGTGTTTTTCTTTATAAGCGTTGCCATGGTCATGGTTTCTCATCACAGCAATAGAAACCCTAACTAAGACAGCGACCTAGACGGTTCTCACTGAGAACCTCTTCCTAATTGTTTCCACACTGTGTTAAACGTATGATTAAACTATCTATCGCTGATAGTCCCAAGTTATTACAGCTTGTGTTTTTACTTGTTTTTTTTTTTTTTCGTTGTTGTTGTTTTTGTCTGATTGTTGGGAATCAGACATTTTGGATGCTTGGCAAGCTATACTTTTGATCTACAGCCCCAGACCATTGTCTTAGGTAGAGTCAGGCTAGCTCTTCCTACCTGTGAACTCTATCTTATTCCCCCAGTGTGTGCCCACTAGTGGAGTGGACGTGACGGCAGGGGCCACTGCCGGCCCTGTCTTCAGTTGATTGTCTTCTGCCATGTTTCGTTTGCAACCTGCCTGGAAGGAGTGAGCAGTGGAGAGCGGATTGTCACTCGTTGCACAGCCCTGCCGTGTGCGAGTGCCCAGCTAAGTGGATGGAAACGTATGTGACTTTAATGAACAGGAAATGGTGTTTGGAAGTATGGCTAACAGTAGAAGCAGAAGCGAGCATGGAGATGACTAACCACCCTTCTCCCTCTCTCCTGGATGAGTGCTTCATCAGTCGCCACATGAGGCAAAAAGAATGAAGATCTAACCAAGTATGAAAGGAAGAGAAGCAAACACAAGTCCCAAATTACAGACTGTTAGAGATATGAATTATGCCCACTGCTGTTGAAGAAAAAACCCTTTATCCATGTTGTACACTGACCTTGAGATGTTAGAATTAAAAATTAGCAACTCATAAAATTTACGTATTTGGTGAGCATGAGGCAAAATCTTTATGATTTTTCCCCAAAATGTTCAAAATTATTTTCAGAAGTATTCAAAGTTTGTGATATTTAGTATAATGATTAAAATTTTCAAATTAAATATAATAATAGAAATAAAAATTATGCGTTGGGCTGGAGAAAGGGCTCAGTGGTAAAGAGCGCCAGCACATGAGTTTGTGTGTGACACGTGTAGAGGCTCTTGGGGGCTAGCGAGTGTCAGGTCCCCTGAAGCCAGGGTTGTAGGCAGTGTGACCACCTGAGGTGGTGTTGGGAACTGAAAGGACTCGGAGTTCTGTACAGAAACAGCTATCACTGAACTGCTGAGCTGTCTCTCCAGCCCTGTTAACTTGCTTTTATTTGTGTATATGGCTTACACTGTTGTGTATGGTTTCTGTTTGTATTTGGAACACGTTACAATATCCATAAACAGTCAGTTGTCGTTTTGATAGGAATTAGTGGAGTAAGGCAGCAAGGAACTCGAGACTGAGACCCCGTCTTGGTTATGAATCCTGGCCCTGCTGCCTGTTCCCTGTTTACCTCTTAAGATTTCTGTTTCCTCTTCTGTAAGATGGGGGCTAATGCCCATGCTGTCTGCTTGTGTTAGTGGTGATCCATGAAAATGCCTGTGTAACACTTGACTCTTGGTAACTAGGGAGTAGCAGGTGCTGCCTGCTAATGGTAGCTGTATTATGAATGAAGTTCCCCTCAGTGTATTAAATGGTAGCTGTATTATGAATGAAGTTCCCCTCGGTGTATTAAATGGTAGCTGTATTATGAATGAAGTTCCCCTCAGTGTGTTATCTGTTTCCAGATAACTAGTTACTTCCAAAGCTTAGTGACCTGGGACAGTAGTCCTTTGTTCTTCCCCAGCTTCTTCTGGGGATCGAGAATTCTAGAGTGGGTTGGCTGTGGTTCCCTTCTGTGCTCCTAGACGGGATGTTGCTTCCAAGGTAGCTTTTCACCTGGCTGTCCGCAGAAAGCTTTGGTTTTCGGGTCTCTCTGTAGCAGTGGCCTCCTGTCGCAGTTCATTCTCCTCAGAGGGAAAAAGAACAAGTCAGCCTCCACAGCGGCTTTTCTGACACAGGCTGTGGAATCAGCTAACAGCTCAGCCCTGTGTTGTGTGCCACAGGAGCAAGAATAAGACTATCAGAGAGGTGGATGATTGGGGCCAGCTTGGAGGCTGGATCCCACACTTCCATTGGCCTTCTTCTTCTGACTGTACTCACCCTGGAAGCTAGTCTCCATCCCAGCTTTTCCTCCATCCTAGGGGTTATTTCCAGCCTTTGGGTGCCCCAAGCCAGCATCCTGACCCTCTCTGTTCATTCTGGCAAGCTTTCCCATGTCAGTGTGGCCGTGCCATTCTTTTCAGGCACTCGGGCAAAAGGTCTAGCATTACATTGGTCTCATTTCTCTCACATCCCATTTTAGCAAATCCCTTGGACTTTTCCTTGAATGCAGGTCTAGAATTCTTACCCTTGCTTCCTTCTGGGCTGTCACCTTCTTGGTCTGTGCCACCCTCCCCTTCGGGTTATTGCAGAAGACTTCCACCTGTTCCTCAGCCTCTATAGTAATTCCCTCTTCCCCTCGCTGCTGTCTTTGAGGAGACTCAGATCATATTGTTCCTAAATAGTGTTTCCCTGGTACTGGAGAAAAGGACCACAGGCCTACTGCATTCCCAAACCTTGGCTCTGTGCATTTAGCCTTCCTTCCTGGGCATCTTCCTGGTTCTCACCATGCTGCAGCCCCAGAGAGTGCTCTTGACAGCTTCCCCTTCTGGGCCTTCTCTTGCTTCCCCGCCCCTTTGGCAGCCAAGCCTTCCAAGGCCACACAAGTCTCCAGCTTCTACAAGCTGCCTGCTGGTGTCCTCACTCACCTCCTATGCCTTACGCTTCCTTTTGTTCTTACCATCAGTTTACCTTCCCCTTTTGACTTTTGAACATTTATTAGATCACATGCAGGGATTCTTGTCTGTTGTATTCCGTGTTGTAATGATTGGCCTATCACATTTACATATTCTTAAACCATTTTTATTTTAAGAATGTGCTTTTCCACCCAAATGTGGTCGAAGTTAGGGTCCCAGTAATATCAGCACAGTGCTATTTCTTGCCCAAGATTAGTAGATCTTGATTACAGGGGTAAAAAAAGAAAAATATCATTTTGGTGTTTTCCTTATATGAACTGAATTGATGCAATTTAGGCATGTGATTCAGATGGAGAATTAAGGTCTGTGCAATAAAGAATTGGAAGTAATATGTGCTTAGAGATCCAACCTTTTTTTTTTTTCACCTTCTATTGAACTAAGAAAATTTGTATCTATTGTGTGAGGTGCTGGGCTATCATGCTACTCAATAGGTCTCTTGAACTAATTCTTAAATGAAATTTTGTATCCCTTAACAGACAAGCCTATATCCTGTGTTTGATTTGGATAGAAAAGCAAGCCGGCCATGTAGATTAGGAAAGGTGGGTGGTTTGACAACAGGAATGACAGAGCCAACTTTTCCTTACATAGGAAGAGTCTGACAAATTCAGGAAGGGTAGGTGTGAGGCTGTTGTGTCTCACCAAGTCCCCTGTTAGCTCTGTACATTACCGTGCTTGGTGCCATAGGAGTAGAGGGAGGTGGTCAAGCACCTAGACAGTGAACTAAAGCACTCCTGGCAGGGAAAGCACAGGGAGGATTTGGGGAGGAAGCATTGTATGAAAGGCTGGAAAGGCGTGGATGAGACTTCGGGAAAGACGGGCAAGAGCTGAGGCGGAACTTGCACGTTTTGAGTCATCCCAAGGGGATGCCGCGTTGCTGACTCTGGAACAGCTTGCTCTGCTTCATCTACCTGTGTCTCAGTGGAGCGGGGCTGGATCTGGAAGAGGGTTGACATGGATAACTATGTAGGTAGAGGCTTGGAACCCAAGACTGATCTGGCATTAGGTATTAAGAGCACCCTTGTTTGAAGGGTCATTAGCGTAGCCTGGGATCCCCCCTTTTCTCCTGAACTCTAGGTGTTCATAAGACCATGTCTACTGGTATCTCTTTAGTTTTATGATCTCTGAATCTTGGGGATACAATGCTAGAATGTTGCTTTGACTTTTCAGAAGAAATTGATTCTATTCAAAGATTTAAAGTGTTTATTCTTTTAAAAGTAACCTACAAGCCAACCTGTTGATGAAATCCAGTGATCCACTTTCCAAAAGCATATGTGCTAATGAAGACAGGGCTCTGTCCTTAGCACGTGAAAAGCAAAGAGAGGCTGGACAGCGTCTCTTTCCCTACTGTAAAGAGGACACTAACAAGCTGCAGAGATACTGCCTTTCTTCCTTCTTCTAGAGGTCCAAAGCGTCTGGAAGGGCCACACCTTGCCTGGCTGGTTTCAGTATAGCAGTGGAGGGGCCTTCACTGTTTTAGTAAGAACTTAACCTTCCCTTCCGATTGCTCTGTCTGTTCCTGCCTATAAGGCTAGTCGTGTTTCCATCAGTCACACCGCTCTCTGCAGAGGAGAACCCTGCTGCTGTATACTGTTCAGTTCATACAGCAGGCATGCGTGTGTCCATAGGTGTGTACTAAATATACACATACATGTATTTCCAATTTTCTTGCTAGATTTTGGCCCTGATTGCATTCATCTGCATCGAGACCATCATGGAGTGCTCCCCGTGCGAAGGCCTCTACTTTTTTGAGTTCGTAAGCTGCAGTGCATTTGTGGTGACTGGGGTCCTGCTGATTCTCTTCAGTCTCAACCTTCATATGAGGATCCCCCAGATCAACTGGAACCTGACAGTGAGTACACCGCTTGGCTCTCCAGAAGAGGACTCTCTCTCTCGTCATGTTTAGCTCTAGTTCATTTGGTCTTTAACATTCCTTACTGGGTTGAGTAAAATTCCACAAGTAAAGTGAATTCTAACAATGGTAAAACATCGTAACAGTTGTGGGCTTTTCCCATGGCCCTAGACACTAGGGCAGGGTGTGTGGGCTGCAGCCCTGAGTGAAGGCAGGACCTTCAGCTAAGCCTTCCCACTCTACCAAGGCTGTAGTGCCTATGGGTTCCTTACAGGTAGAGAGAGTGAGGCACTCTTACGCTCTGGAGTACCCTCAGTGATCCCTGTGATCCTGTACATGCTCATCAACAAAGCAAGAGCAGGGTATAAAAATCCTTTACATTCAAGAACAAATGAAAACACCAAAGTTCAGGAAAGCAGGACTGACAAGTTCTGAACATTATCAGACCAAATTGACAAGAGGGTCCAAACGAGGGTTAGACCCAAAGCATTGACTCTACCACTGGTGCCTGGTTCCTGCAGGCACCTGGGGAAAGAAACAGGAGCTGTCTGTGTGTATAGTGGGGCTGCTGTCGTGGTATGTCCTGGATCACGAAGCAGGGAAGGTCTTTCTTATCAGATAGTCCCTGTGTTATCCCATTGGGCAAAACACAAAAGGGGTGGGGTGAGGGTAGGGATTTCCTACAGGAGGTACTGATTAGAAAAATTGTCAGTTATAAACTCAGCTAGTTTTGTTGTAGCTTTGAAAGTGAAGGACAATTATATGCTAGGTTTTATTTTATTTTTGAAACAGGATCTCATGTATTCCAGGTTGGCCTCTTATTCATTATGCGGCCAAGGATGCTCTCGAACTCCTGATTTTCCTGCCGCCACCTCTCAAGTGCTGAGATTATAGGCAAGCATCAGTCTCCTCGGGGTCACTGTTGAGACGAGTGCTCCTGGTTATGCATCGATTCAGTGGATCCAGGCAGGGCTGTGCCTGTGCCAGCAATTGCTAGTGTGCTAAATAATATGATGGCTGGGAGTCAGCTCTGGACAGAGCCCACGCTCCCTGCCTGGCAGCTTTCCTCTAGCCCGTGCAGACGCTCAGCAGGAGCCATGGCTCCTGGGTCTCTGCTGCACAGGCATGGTGCTATTAAGATAGAGTGTTGACTGGGTAGTGGCCTGTGCTTTTAATCCTAGCCCTTGGGAGGCAGAAACAAGCAGAACTCAGTGAGTTTGAGTCTGGTCTGTATCACAAGTTTTAGACCAGTCAAGGCTACACAGTGAGACTCTCTCTCAAAAAAAGAAAAATAGAATAAAAAAGATAAAGAAAAAAAAAGGTACCTGCCAGTGTTGATGGTGTAGTCAACCAGCCCCTTAAACAGATTAGGTTTTTCCTGCTTCTCCAGTGAAACTCAAAGGCTATGAGGTGTGACCCAGGATGCTGAGGACCTGATGCTAAAACAGGGATAACAGAAGTGCTGGTGAATGCTTAAAGAAGGACCCCAACTGTAGGCCAGACACTGTGCTTGGCTCATTGATTTACTCTCCAGAGCAGCTCCAGGAAGAAGAGATTGCTATCCCCACTTTAAAACACAGAGAAACAGTGCAGCCTGTCTGAAGTCATCCGTTAGCTAGGTCCCGAGTGGCTGTGTCTCTGAGTCACTGTTACCGTCCTTTCCACAAGGAAGGCAGCAGTTATACCCATGCAGCACTAGGTTAGTTAGTAACCTCACCCACTTCGCAAAAGGCTTGTTGAAAATCCTCCAGGCTTTGGTGGTACAGAAGCTTGAAAGTCTGTTAAGAAAGTCTGTTTTCAGTGTATGAATGCCATGTTTTAGATGGCGCACAGGAGAGAATACCGGGAGATGCCCTAGTTTCAGTACATTTATATTTTTGGTAAGCTTGGCCTAATCTAAATGATATGAGAACCTTTTCTAAAAGGTGACACGAAGCAAGACTTGGTGGCACACACTTTTAATCCCAGCACTTGGGAGGCAGAGGCAGGGTGATCTCTTAGTTCAAGGCCAGCCTGGTCTTAATAGCAAGCTTCAGGCCAGCCAAGGATACACAGAGAGACCCTGTCTTAGAACATAAAATAAAAAGGTGACACCGGAAGACTGTGGGTACTCAGTGGCAGGCTATTGGCTTGTGTATGTAAAAGGCCTGGGTTTGATGCTCAGCACTACAAGCAAATAAATTAACCCGAACGCTGCATGGTAAGCAGCGTTACCAGTTTTGGTTGCTCTTTAAGTCAAGACTTGATGACAGAGGTAAAGGTATATCACGTTCTCTCCAGTGAGCAGTGACACCGAGAATGACGTCTGCAGACACAAGAGAAACAAGCTTCATGGGCCTCAGTTGGAAAGTTCTTCAGTTGCTTTGCAAATTATTCTACTTTTTTCTTTTTCTTTAGGATTTGGTCAACACTGGACTCAGCACTTTCTTTTTCTTTATTGCCTCAATTGTACTGGCTGCTTTAAACCACAAAACCGGAGCGGAAATTGCTGCCGTGGTAAGCAGACTAGATTGGTTTAAATAGGCTGAGTCTGCACCTTCTGAGACTGTCCCCTGGCATGTGTCCTAGTCACCTCCTTTAAGTGTTTCCAGAGATGAGGGGTGGTGGTCAGATAGCAGGAAGGGTTCACTCTCCATGCTCTGTTCTGGCTTGCTGTTGGTTTATAAAGAACATGTATCACTTGTGATGGGTGAGGGTGGGTAGGAAATTGGGCCAGCAAGATGGTGGTGCAGTGGGTAAAAGGCACTTGCTGCCAGGCCTGATGACTAAATCCCATCCCCAAGTCCAAATTGTCCTCTTATAACCACCTATGTGCCGTGGTACACCTCCCACCCCAACGAACAAAATAATGCATAAATGCATGTAATAAGCATTTTATTTTTTTATTTTTCGAGATGGTTTCTCTGTGTAGCTTTAGATCCTGTCCTAGAACTTGTTTTGTAGACCAGAGGCTGGCCTCAAACTCACAGAGATCCTCTTGCCTCTCTTCACGAGTGCTAGGATTAAAGGTGTGCGCCATTACCACCAGGAATAAGCATGAAGCAATAAAATATGAAGCTGATTGTTCTTCCAACACGTCAGGAGATCCATCAAGCTAGACTAAGAGGTTAAAATCCTACTTCATCTGCCTGGGCTGCCCAGGTGAGAGGCAGGAGGAGGGCGTGGTGATACAGAGCATGGGCCTGATGGCTTCCTGTCGAGTTCTCTTGTGAGACGCAATTCTTTCTATATTATATCTGGTCTTTATTATATTTTTACTTGTGGGTCCAGTGATCATGAATTGCATGCAGTAAAAGAGGTACTTCTGTGATTTAAAAATAAAAGTAGTTCAAGGCCGGGTGTGGTGGTGCACACCTCTAATCCCAACACTCAGGATGATTTCCTTAAATTTCACATGGAAAGTTCTAGATCAGCCAGGGCCTCATAGTGAGACCCTCAAAATAATATAGTAATAACAATATTAATAAATATTTTAAAAAGATAATGGGCTGGAGGGCTGGCTTAGTTGGCAAAGTGCTTGCCATGTAGGCATGAGACCCTGAGTTTCAGCTACCAGAACCCATGTAAAGCTGGATGTGGTAACAGGTACACCCATAATACCAGCGGTCCTAGGGCAGAATCTCATGGGGTCAGCTAGCATTGAGAAGGAAACTACGTGTCCCAAGGTAGAGAGGTACAGGGATGGATCAGCCAGTGCAGTTCTTGGACAGCCCCCAGAGAGCCATGGGTGGGTGTTGTGTATGACCGGTTAGATTCACCCTCCTTATCTTTCATGCCCAGGTCATCTAGGTGGCCAGCATGACCCAAGACAAGAAACCTCATCCAAAACAAGAGAGGGTTGGCACCCAAGGTTATTCTTTGACCTCCAAATGCATGATACCCCTGTCCTCCCCTGCTCCCAGAGAGAGAGAGAGAGAGAGAGAGAGAGAGAGAGAGAGAGAGAGAGAGAGAGTAAATAAACCCGGTAGTGTTGGCACATACTTTCTTTAATCCCAGTACTCGGAAGACTGAGGCAGTCTGATCTTTTGAGGCCAGCCTGGTCTAGAGAACAAGTTCCAGGACAGCCAGAACTACACAAACTCTGTCTTGAAAACAAACAAACAAAAAGTAGTCAAGCAGTAGTGGTACCACCTTTAATCCCTTTAATCATGGGAGGCTGAGGCAGGTGGATTTCTTTTAAGTTCGAAGTCAACCTGGTCTACAAAGAGAAACAAAAAGAAGGAAGAAAAGAAACAGATTTAAAACACTCAAAAGACCTTTTCGATGTCTTCATGCCAGCTTAGATTTTCCGTGGGTCACGTGACTTCATCCAGATCACAGCTACACCTGAGTAGGGCTGGGGATCTGATATTACTGGAAGGGGCCGCACACAGCTTGGGTCCCTATGACAACACTCAGCCTTAGCTTCAGGACACATGCACAAGGGTAAACTGTGATTGTGTATTTTAGATATTTGGCTTCTTGGCAACAGCAGCCTATGCAGTGGGCACATTCCTGGCTGTGCAGAAACGGAGAATCAGCCTCCGCCAGCAGAGCACTAATGACTACATCCGAGCTCGCACTGAGTCCAGAGATGTGGACAGTCGCCCCGAGATCCAGCGCCTGGACACATGAGACCCTCCAGGAGTCCTCCCTCCGCTGCCCGCACACCCATTCTTCTAATCAAGTTTTCTTTCTCTCAGCACGCCAGATTTTTGTGTGGTCCAGTTGAATTTTGTCCTGTTTGGTAAAAATTCACTTTGGGAAAGGGTGCCTAGAGTGACTGATCTGTGGTGGCCTGAAGAGCCCAGGTCCTCCAGCATTGGGTGCCTGTGGGGGCAGCCGACTTCAGTGCCTGCTCCAGGGCTGAACTGTCTGTCTCAGAACACACAGTCTCATCTGACTCTGAGCCGCCCTGCTTTGTGTATCTGTGACCAGTCTAAACTGAGGTGGCTTTGAGAAGATAGCGGTACAGGGCTGCAACAGCAGTGAGGTTCTTGGACAACCCCTAGGGAGCTAGGAGTGAGTGTGGAGTCTGGCTGGTTAGATCCACCTCATTGTCTTCCATGCCCAGGGCACCTAGGCAGCCAGCGTGGCTTGGGTGGGACTGAGGGGCTTGGTGAATAGATGTGCTCCTGTAACCTCCTTGCCAGGTCTTTATGTTACAGGGACAGGAAAACCTAGTGCCCTGTGGGACCACTGACTCACAGAACAGTGACCATTTGTCTCCTACCCTGCTGAGAGAGCACTTGATTCCTCCTCAAACGAATCACCTTCCTGTGGGCCATACTCACTTCCTGGGGTGGAGGCCATCATCTCTGCCAGTCCCCTGCCTACCTTCCACATCTTGAGGCTGAATTGCGGCAGTTTCTGCACCTTTACCCTCTCAGGTGAAAGCTGCAGAAGAAACCGTACGTCCACCAGCAGTGGCACTGGCTACGGATCACGCTTGTGTATGTGGGGCAGGCAGAGTGTGTGTATGTATGTGTGTTAAAAAGTGGCACACTCAAATTCACATTTCTATTGTATGGACATGTCTAATTCTCTGAATATCCAAGACAAGCTCTAAAGTGATTCAGAGTCAGTTTATCTAGGATTTGAAAATACTTGAATCTGCACCAGGACACATCTTTCCACAGATGTGCCATAGGCACTATTGTCATTTTGGGTCCTCATTATGAACACCAGTCCTGCAACATGTTAGGAATTCTAGTTACATCAGGCTTTTGGATTGGTTCTTGATAAACTGAAGATTATTTTCGTGGTAAATGAGTTGAGCAGGCCCCTATCATGCTGTAATTTTGTTGTTGTTGTTAATTGTTGTTGTTGTTAGAGACTAATTATATCTTTTTGGAAAATTGTTTTAACATGTCAGGTTCTCTCTCTGAACTGTTGATGTTTACAGACCTTATTGTAGCTCTAATATTTTGTGTGTAGCCTCACCGAGAAGACATGGCTGTTGGAAAGGTATTGCAATAGCAGAGAGCCCCCACCATCTCCTACTGAGACTGTCCATAGCCTGAGCAGTGTCTTTTGTAGTTCATAACCCAGAAGCGGGTGGCAAGGCTGGGGGAGGAAAGTCTGAGGAGGTGGGTGCCCCTGTGTGCATGGCTCTGCATCATTCAGGGAAGAGCAGTGATGTATGGTTGAGTAGCAAAGAGGAGCTATTGTCGAATACCACTGCGGGGCTCCGGAGTCCACAGGAAGTAGGGTCAGGCTGTATCTGGCTGGGGGCCGGGTTGAGGGGTACTAGAGGTTGACTCCTGAAAGCCAGCATCCAGTGTAATTCAGTGCTGCTGGGGTTCCATGTTGGCAGTATCCGGGTCACATGTTCAAAGGATAGCTAGTCTGGGATAATTCCCCTCCCTGCTCCTCTTCTCCTCTAGAATGCGGCCTGGGTCTGGCCCTTGCCCAGCTCCTGGTAGAGATTTCTGTCCTTGAATGTCGTGAGGCTGTCAGTATACCTTGTGTTGTTGCAACTTTGAACCTGTTGCATGTTGTGATACAGAGGGAGTGGATGACATCTGGACTTTTATCTGTTTTACATGGTTATTTTGAATTTGTTGAGTATGTCTACACAATCAAAATCAAATTCCCTTTAAAATAGGGTCACAAAGACTTGGCCTATATCAGATGGGCCCCCCTTGGAAGGACCACCCTGAGCTCTATCATGTTACTGGGCCTCAGGAAAAAGCCACCTTTGAAGTGAGCTGGAAGAAAGAAGCATTCAGACTGGATTGCTGCTCATTTTCCCAAGTCACTTCAATAAAACCATTTTATCATGTGCTGAAAGGAGGCCTCTGAGAGTATTGTCAGCTGAAAGACATAATCCCGAGGCCCAGTGAGACCGTGAATACTGAGATACGATAAAAGTGCTACAGTCTTAGGGCCTGAAAGACTTGACTTAGTTGCATCTTGGTGTCAGAATTATCTTTGTAATTATTTATATCCCAGTAACTATTTAATATCCTTTGTGTTATGAAGCTTCCCTGTGGCTTTTGTATATGTATTTCCTTGTACTATTTAACTAGCTCCCATAGAGCCAGAAGTGGTTTATACACGTTCTAATAGCGTGATGCACAGCCCCACTCCTGTACAGCCAACGTGGTGAGGAGAAGCCATGAAGGGAATATGGTTGCCTACAGGGAATGCAAGGATGCCTGTCTTTTTCTTGTCATGCTTCTATGCAAACAAAATAATCTAGATCTGGGTTTTTAAATGATCTCTGCAAATTGAAAAAAGCATATTTTTGTGTTTATTAAGTCTATTACGGACCAGAGTCACTTAGGTTTTGGGCATTTTAAGTCAACCTTAGCTTATTTTGTTTCCCTATGGGATGACTGACTTTCCCAGTTGGAGCAAAACTTGAAGGGAAATGCAGTTGTTGGGAGCATCTGGTGTGGCCATGGAGATGTGCGGTTCAAGCCCTCTCACATTTGGTACTTTGGATGAATGTAAACACTGACATCCTCAGAGAAGGTGTGGCTCTGTATCTGTTGACTGGGTGGCATTCACCACTGTTCTCTACCCTTCCTGCAAAAGGCACAGAGGGTAAGCCCTTTTCCTTTATGAATGGAGAGCAAGGAAACCCAAGGTACTTACTGCCTCCTAGGAAGGGTGAACACAGTGATGGAATGGATTCTCTTCAGAGAAGTTCCACTTAAAGTGATTGCCATGCAGGGCAGATTGCTTTTGTCTACAGAAAAAGCAAGAATGCAGAAAGCTGCCCACACCCAGTGCCCATATCTTTCTTAGCAATGTGCTAAAACACCGGAGTGGGTAGAGCCTGGCCACAGGGAAGCCAGCAAGGACCAGCCGTGGTCCTTGTGCAGTGAGCACTTGACCTTGGGGCCCTTTTACAGGTGACTAGAAGGCTCACACCCATGGGCAGACCTGGTACACCTGGCTCCCACCTGTGCTGGGTGCTTCTGGAGAGAGTTTTGTGGCTCACCTGAAAACTTTTTTTCTCTTTTCAAGTTTCTTCTATCTTCTTTGAAGGTTTTTCTAGTGGTCCAGGCAGTCTTAGAAGAAATGAAGGTCTAACTCTCTTGTCCCTGCACGTATGTGAATTCTTGCTTGCCTTGAATGAGCCTCGACTAGTTCTGTGTGTGACACAAACTGTGCTATGTGAAGAAAGCCCCTTCCCTGTCTATGAGGTGGCCTGAAGGTCAGAATCCCTGTGAGTCAGTCTTTGGAGCATGGAGACTTGTGTCTAATTTAATGACCATGTAGGTGGTTCCTTCTCTGCCATCTGTGTTCAGAACACAATAATTCATGGTTTGTGTGCTCCTGCCTAACTGCCTTTTTCTCAAGGTGTCACCTGCATAGCAATAGTGACATTAAGCAGGTAGCAGAAGGGATGGGGTATACGCTTCCTAGATAGAGAATTGTTAACTGGTTCTCAAGCAGGAAAAAAAAAATGCTTCTAGCATGTGAAGTTTCCAGGGTTTCTCTCCTATTTTATCACACCTACCCCATAGGGGCCAGCTAGGCAGAGAGTTTGGTGGACACAAGGTTTGCATCACAGGCCTGGCGGGAGGAGGAGGCTGCAGCGGGAACAGAGACAGCATAGATGGCACTTGATGTGTTCATACCCCCTGCTGCACTGGAAACACGTCCTTATGCCTCCTCTTCAGAAGAGTGAGGGCTTGTGCTCCCCGGTGGACTTGAGGCCAAGAGCTGGATGTTAGAGACCGCCAGCCCCAGTGCTGGCATCTAGTCTGGGTCTGAGCAGGCGATAGCTGCCTCAGGTGCGTTCCTGGCAGGACACAGACCTAACGGGCCTGTTCTCTTGACTTTGTTAGCTCTCACCTCCTTAATCTATTGTTTTTCTTCTCAGCAGACATCTTTAAAAGAAATCAGATCTGTCTGGTTGAGAAAGTAATTTGAAATATTTGACCTATCTATGTTTATGTAGCCTTTATCTCTGAAAGAAAATGCCATCTGTGTTAGATCTAGAATTTTCTTCTGAAAGGGAATGTTCTCTTGGATTTCATGATAGTCAGTGTAGCTTTGGATGTAAGTTCTCAGGCTTTGGGAATTTTTATTTTCTTTCCAGTTTCTCCTATTCAAAAAAAAAAAAATACCTAAGAGGAAAGAGGGTGTGTGGCCGAGGGGCACAAGTCTCTTGTGCTCAAAGCACTAGCCACTCGCCCGGAATCAAGTTGAGATTGTAGGCCCTCAAACGGTATATTTGTGTCATTAGTTTACCCTGTCAGCCTTTCTATTCTGATACTTCCAGTTCCGGTGAGCCTTTGGTTAAGGGTTAATGTCACTTGGACTGTGGCAGGTTAGCGGGGCTTGTTTCGTTATTAATCATGGTAAGAACATGCCTGCAGTCACTTCACTCAGCTTTGTTAATGGGATGTAGGGCATGGCCAAGAGGTTTGTTTGTTTTTCTTTCATAATTGTTTCTGAAAAGAGAGATGCTGCTAATACCTCAGCAGAAATTACCTCGCCCCTCCCCCCCCCCCCCCTTTAATCAGAAAAGCTACCCAAGGAATGGCCAAGAGAGAGGACAGTGCAGGAGGCTTGTGTTCACTCCAGCCTAAGGCAGGGCCAGGCCTGACTGATGCCGCCTCCTTCCGCTAACCCTGCTTTGCTTACAGATTTAGCAAGTTTCACAACTCTTCTTGTGGCAGTGAAGAGGACAACCCTTCTGGGCTTAAATTGGCTGGGTCAAGGCTGGAGAGGGCAAGAGCAAGGGCTTGCTGTGGCCCAGGCCCATCTTTCATTACTAACTCTGTCATTACCATTGGAAAAATCATTCAGATCATGATGAAATTGACCCATTTGCCTAAAAGCATTGCTTTTTAATAAGTTGATTTTGTTTGACATGGTTCCAGCTGGAAGAATGCTAGGGAGTGAAGCTGTCTGTGTATGTTGAAGTTTAAGGACTTTAGGGACTCATGGCAGAAACACTGAGCTAGTTATTACAGTCTGCATTTTTTTAAGTAGGCAGTTCTGTCCTTGTGAATTTTATGATAAATAATCACTTCACCTTTGGTGCCTTCCATGTGTCACATAAGCACTCTTGTCAATCATGGATTTGGGGGGGGGGGTTACATTTAGTTAAAACAGATAACACTATTTTTGTAGCATGATTGTGTCCTTTCAATATTGCTTTCCACAATACCCTAGGTCTTGACATTTGGGCCATTTTCGTCTTAAGCTTCCTATGCAGTTTTCAAAGTCAGACACCTCCAGCAACTCCTGCCCCATGCACTGTGTTCTCCCCACACTGCACATTTGCTGATTAGGCCTGAGAGTCAGAGGACCTTTCTTTAAAAAAGGTCGTGTCCCTGTAATTCTATCTGACATCATTCGTTTGTTAGACTGGGAGAGCTGCTGCTCACCTGCAGCAAGAGGAAAGTGGTCTCGTTTTTTCAAGTTTTGTCTGTGCCCTGCCTTCCTGCTCACTGAGTCTGACAGAAAGAGCTTGCATTTGGCTCCTTGCCCTCCCTCCCACCCTAGCCAGTCTCAGGCTGTTCTCTGGCCAAGGGCCACTGCTTCCTAGCAGCATCTCAGCCTTGCTCTGGGACTCACCCCACTTGGATTCCAGGTAGGGTTGTGGAGGCCCTGGTGGGTGGCCTGAATGTAGGTCCCCTGCTGTGACAAGCTGGATAAAGCCAGGGCACAGCTTAGCCACTTTCTGCTTTCCTGGCCCTGCTCCTTGGATTGTCTGGTCAGGAAAAGCTCAGCCGTTGTTGAGTAAAGGTACGGATTCTCTGAGACATTAACTTGTAGCTCCTTGTCTTTGTCCTTTTGAAGAGTCAAAACGTGGTTCTGCGGGGAAAAGTCATCAGGTGGCTGAATGACAGCTTCCTGCCAGGATGGGCCACTGGCACTTCATTTAACTAGTGGCACTTTGGGGGACAGTGTTCATAGTTACTACATTTTGTTTCTGTAGTCTGGTTTTCTTTGAGACAGGGTCTTGCTAGGTAGTCTTGGCTGGCCTTTAACTTGTAAGTGATCATCCTGCCCCTTGTCGTAAACGCTGTGGTACAGGAATGTGTCACCATGCACAGCTAAAGCTTGTCTTTTTGGCGGTTTATAGACATGGCTGTGGGCATTCCAACGTGAAGGCTGTTGAACAAACTGATGTGTGTTGTTTGCAGTACTGAACTTCGCCTCCTGACCCATTGGACATGGCCACTGTGGGTGAGCCCCCCAACTCTCGGGTTTCACCCTGTGCTTGAAATAAGTGATGTGGGAGCCCCATGGCGTTTGCTCCCCTTAATTGCCCCTGACAGCTGACAGAGCCTCACACTGCCCTCAGCCTCCCCACTTTCCTTTGAAGGACCAATTTTTCATGGTACTTGTCTTGATTGTTTTCATAGTGTTCAAATCTGTATTTTTGTATGTAGAGGGAAATAATTTTCGACACTAATCACTAATGAATATTGTCATGAAGGAGTTCTTGTTTAATAAATGGACACATAAAATGTTTTAGTCTCTCCTTTCTCCTCACTCCTGCAAACAAATTTGCTCTGTAGAGGTGACAGAGCCACAGTCAACAGGCTGTAACCAGTTTGCCAGGCTCCAGGGCATTGCACAGCCTGGCTCTGCGTCTGGCTGTCCACGTGTTTTAGTGTGCATTTCCAGTGATGGTGCGCAGAAGGCTTTGCCGCTCCCCGGGTACTTGGGCTTGAGTGGTGACTGGGTTCCTCATAGCAGCTGCTCTGAGCTCCCTGCTCAAGACCCAGGTTTTGGTTGTTGGAGGACACACCATCCTAGCCAGGCTGCCTGCTCACCCTTCACTGCCTTGACTAAGATTGAGTAGAAGGCAGTGGTGGTCAGATGCTGCTGCCCAGCAGAGATGAATACTGCCGCACCGCTGCTGGCGGCCACCAGGACCCACCGTGGCCATTGAAATGGGCAGTTATTGCAGGCGGCGGGTGCGTTTCTCAGTCGGGCACACTCTGAGCAGGTAGGCACTTTGTTTTTAATCCATTGTGGCATTCTTTTAGGGAGGGGATTTACATGCAAGGTAGGAAGAAGGTTACAAACAGCTTAAGACATGGGCCCGGAGCTCTGGCTCATTCATGGGGCCTCTCAGGCCACAGAAATGCCATTTGTTACATTGCTTTTGAATAAAAAAGTTATAAAAAAAAGTTAGAAAACATCAAAGACACACACAGCATCAACCCCCAAGTGAACACAGAGAAGGCCCATGTCAGCAGGCCTGTCCAGGTGGCTCCCAGGAGAGGGCTTGACTGGGCCCGCCCAGCCACATGTGACTTTGTCACCCACCGCCACTGCCCTGGTAGACAGACAGGTCTTTGGGCTCTTTGCTGAAAAGGTCTCAGACCCACAATGGAAGACTTGGCTAGTTGGGTTTCTCCCCATTTTACAGTGAGGAGGGAAACTTCTCGAACAAAGATTCCTGAAAGTCCTCTCAACAAAGTGCAGGCGTGAACAGGAGCCTCCACGCAGAGCCCACCGGGGCTGGGTGGGTCAGCCTGCTGTGACCACTCCCCACGCAGCTGCCTGAACCGCAGTGACTGGCTCCATGTGATGTCTGCTCTGCTCCCATGGGGCAGCGAGGTTCAAAGGCTCAGGTCTTCAGGACAGAAACGGGAGAAGGCAGGATATTCAGTCTCCTCAGGCGCCAGCTCAGCAGTGCTAAGCCAGCACAGCCAATTTGAGTGTGAGGCTCAGGGGCCATAATCTTGGAGACCTGCTCCTCGGTCTGCTCTCCCGTGGGTGTCCACTGTCATGCTCCTGTAGCCCCATCAGGACGGTATGGATGGCAGGCCTGAGTGGCGCCAGGCGCAGGCACACACAGGCCTTCTCAGTCTGAGTCGGAATCAGAGCTGGAGTTGGAATGATCTGAAAGGAAAGTAGAGAGTGCTGGCAATAGTCCCTGGAGTGTGGGTAGGAGGGGGCACTGCCAGCAGGAGCCCTGGGCCCAGCTTCTCCCATAGTGACAGGCTGGGCCTTGGGCTACAAGGGGATAGGGCAGGCACTTCTCTTCAGCCCAAAGTCCAAATGCATCTTTCCCAGGACGTCCCTTCTCACCTGAGGATGTCAGAGTTGTACAATTGCACCCTTTTCTCCACCCCCATTCAGCAGGACAAGGCAAAGACAACAATTTCTTGTTCCTGAACTAAAATACACTAGAAAATGGACAAGCTTTTTGGTTGTTGTTTTGTAAATGTATTTTGTGGGTTTAGCTGTTTATTTTATATTGTGAGATGAATATAAAACATTTTGTCATGTTAAAGTCAATTAGTAATATAACTTTAAAGACTCCTGGAATCATACCATTAAAGATTATTCTGTAGAACCTTCTGGAATCTCATGCCTTACTAGTACCTGACCCTAGCAATGGTGGCTGTATTTTAATGCTCATCACCTCTCCAAGCCCTGGTTCTTACCCCTCATCCATTAGCCAGTGTATAAGTAAGACAAGCTTGTTATAGTCATAGCTAACATATAGACCAATTATAAATACTTTTGCAGCAAAAACTCCTGTCTTATATTAAAACCACACCAAATATTCAAAATGCATGTCTCCATGAACATTTATGCTCCGATCCCGGAGCTGGTTGGCCAGCATTTGCTGCAGGTCCCAAAGGCTAGAAAGCAACATCCAGGAGCATTTAACCTGTTTGCCACAGACCAGGAATGAGTTTCCAATGACATTCACTTTTTAGCAGCGGGACAGTGTCTAGGAATCCCAACAGGATACTGATAGCCTCTAAACCTAGCCATCTAGGTCCTACTTCAGATATTTAGTACAATGGGGAAGATCCTACAGCCAGGATCAGCCCTGAGATCAACTCTGTCTAGCCACACAGTACTGATGGCCTGCTCCAGAGAAGTATCTGGCCCAGATTGATGTTCTTTGGAGAAAAAAAAAAGATCCAAACAAGTCAGATAAGGGGTGCTATGAGTTTGAGACCAGCCTGGGCTACAAAATGGGTTCTAAGCCAGTGAGTTACAACAGAGTGAGGTTCTATTTCAAAAACAACAACAAAAACCAAGCCCACTGTGCCTGTGTCTGCCTGGGTACTGTGGGCTCCCAAGCGGGAAAGGGGAAAGGGCGTAGTGTGTTGGTCTCAGAGACACTTCCTACTTCAGCCTCAAACTAACCAGGTGTCCCCAAGGAAGGGCAGAGCCCTACAGCCATCCTAAAAGGGATCAGTGGGGATTCTCAGAAACCATGCGGAGTGGCCACTCACCTCCTGCTGTCTCTTGGGCTGTGGTCTCATTTGCAGAGTCTCCTTGCTTGAGGAATTTGGCCACTTCATTAAAGATCAGGTAGAAGTCAATTGCAAACACAATTGTGGCAAAAAAGCCAAAAACCTGTGGGATACACGCATGGCATATGGCATATGGACAGGGTGGACGGAAGCATCATGAAGACTGGGCTCATGGACCAAGAGACTGGGCATATGCAAGCAGCAATGAGGAAATGCTCCAACCAGGACGGATGGACAGGCACAGCCTTTCTGAGTTATGGCAAATAGGGGAGATGGGCTGTGAGCCTGGTAGACACAGCCGTTCAACTCAGGACAGACTAAACTTTTAACTAGACTGGCATGGCAGAGACCCACATAGGGACCCAGTGCCTAAGCAGGGGCAGGATCTGCCCGGGTCCCACTGTAGAAGCCAGTGCCAAGGGGGATGACCTGGAGCGCCAGGGAAGGGGCGCTGCTGGGTAAGTCCACTAGGGGGCAGGGCAGCCACTCACTCCAGCTGCTTTGTAAGCTCCATCTGAGTATTTGGCGACAGCTGTGATGGAGATGACGAAGTAGATGAGGGCAGCCGTGACACAGCGCAGGAAGTCCTGGGGAGAGAGAGACATGTCCACACTGAAGGTGCCACAGCACGGGCAACCAACACAATCAGCCCTAGCCCTAGGACATGAGTCCCTGTCCTAGCTCCACCTGTATGCCCTGGCCCTAATCTATTCTTCATGTGTCTTGTTCTGCAGGCTTCTAGTAGCTTATATTGCCCCATTCTTGGTCCTGCTGGGTTTTCTCTGCTCTGTGGGTAGCAAATGGGTTGTTTACTATGCTATCACTGACTCTGCAGTTTGGCACAAATGGGAAGTGGAGAAAGTCTAGCTTTCCAAGAGGCTTGACCTTGCCACAGTGAGATCCGTTTATGATCCTAGTCTTTGTTTAGTCCTTAGGGTGGGGCTACAGTGAGGGCAGCTGCCACCAGGTGGTTACATGGATGTTGGGGATAAATTCAAGGGAACCTTTGCGACCCATTTTCTATGATCCACTTTATCCATTAAAGGGCACTCTTGGGACTGTAAGGTCCTCGGGTGATCAAACAAGAGCAGGTGCCAGCTGACTAGAATCTAGGAAGTCCCACAAGTCCTCAGTGACTCCACCCTGCTGAAAATGGCTTGAATGCTTGTGGCTGAGGCACATTCCTTCTCCAAGACCAGAGCAACAGCTCCACCTGGTGGTCAGGAGCCTTCTTTGGGTGCCCAGCTTCACAGAACAACGCAGGGGGGCGGGGGACTTACAACTTATCAGGTCCCGCTGTCCCAGTGCTGCTGGTTGGGCGGGGGTGGAGGCCCAGATTCTTCAGGTGACAGCCAACCCCTTCCTCTTGGGTCCCCGGATCCTTACCATCATGGGCCAGCACAGGCCCTGCCACTTGTCATTCAGCTGCATAGCATCAGCAAAGAGGAAGTAAACAGCCAACAGGAACTCCAGCAGAGGTACGGTGAGGAAGGCAGATGCCGAGGACACCACGTAGCAGATGAAGGTAATGAATGAGAGTCCCTGTGGAAGAGCAAGGACAGTCAAACATTCTTGCCACCTCCCCCCCAACCCCCCAGGCCAGGCCAGGACCCTGAGTCCCCATACCTTGCTGAATCCCTGCTAGGACCCCATCTTGAAGCTCTAGCCTCCCCCCCACTCCCAGGCCACCTTGGGCTGCTCAGCTTCTTTCCTGACTCTGCAGTGGAACGTACCTAACTCAGCTGTGTCCACAAGGGGGCAAGCCAGAGCTAAAAGCTACTGCTTTCAAAACTCACACCCCTACCGGTACCTAAGATGTGTACTTTTCATGAAAACCCTAACCTCACTGGACGATGATGTGCATGCCGAAGTGTTTGAAGCTGAATGCACTGATGTCTACAACTGATTTTGAATGTATGAAAGCACAAGGGGGGTTGAGGGACACAGAATAAAGGAGGCAGAGCAGTGTTAACCACGGTACAGTTCACGTGGTGGAGGCAGGGATGTTTTGACACTTTTGTGCATCTGCAAATCTTTTTTTTTTTTAAACCTATGCACGAGGCTAGCAATGCAATGCAGTTCAGCTGGTACAGTTCTTGCCTACTACACACAAAGCTCTGGGTTCGATCCTAGGCACCGCATAGACCAGGCTTGGTGGTACAAGCCTGTGACTAGCACTTTGGGATGTGGAGGCAGGAAGAGCAGAGGTTCAAAGTCATCCTCAGTTTCATACAGAAAGTTCTAGGCAGCTTGGGATACATGAAACCCTATCTCAACAAATTCTAACTCCTTTGGAGACAGCCTTGATTGTGGGTCCCAGCTGTACCATTCAGGTGGGGCTGGCTACACCGATCTACAGAAGCCTGGTCCACAGGGTTGTGGGGTGGGGGATGCCAAGGTTACTGGTGAGTCCTGCAGACTTTGTGCATGGCAGGGAAACAAGATGAAGATGCTAGGGCTGAGGCGTTTCAAGCCCAGTTCTCGCTGGTTCTGTCTAAAACTTCTAGACTTCTCTGCTCCTCACCGCCACTCATGTGCCACCCACGGCCTATCTCTTAAAGCAGCAGACTTGATGTCACCCAGTTAATAGGGTATCACATCTGTACTTAGGGCATTAAAGGCCTCCATGCCTTGGCGCATGTCTACCACTATGGCCGGCTTTGAGTCTGTCCACAGCTCACTAGTTTAAGGGGCCAAAGGGGGAAACGCGGATGTCCTATAAGAACGAACTACCATGGCTGCTTCTGACAAATGAACTGATGGTCTCTGGAACCCCATTCTTGCCTCTTCCCCTGAACATGTCATGGAGGAAGCTGAACTGCCCCGGGGCAAACAGGAAACTAAGGCTTAGAGAAAGACTTTTTTGAGGTGGCCAGTCATCATCAGCTTCCACTGTATTTGCTAAAAGGCTGCTTTTATGTCTCCTCTTTCTGTTCTCATCCTCCCCCTCAATTGAGTCTGATTCTGGTGACAGTGACACCCTCCCCTCCCGCCACCATAACACATACACACTTGAGTCCTCTTTTCTCATTCCCCAATTCTTGGTGGCCAATTCCCCTAGTTTCCTACCCATATCCGACTCCCGACTTGCATTGGGACCAAGAGGAGGAAGGACTAGGAGCGGCTCCCCTCTACCCTCTGAACTCACTCCTTTCCCTTCTTATATTCCTAGGCCTGGATTTCTGACACCTAGGCCGACTAAGTCAAGGATATCTTGTGAGTTCTGGCTGGCACTCACCCCTTATCCATGAAGGGGTACTAGGTAGGGTAGGACAGAAGCCTCCTCAATGGTCTGTAATTCAAATCCCTCCCCACCCTCGCCTCGTGACTTCCAGAGATCTGAGATGGCCAGTCTAAGAGAGGGCTCTAGGTCTGCCTGGTACCTCACTTAGGAACAAAGTATTGGAGTCTACTGGTGACCTCGGGATTGATGCTGCCACCATGTGTCCTGGGGTACAAGGGAATAGTCCTAGGGCAGAAACCCTCCCATCTTTTCTCAGGGACCCTCGATTGAGTCACCTGTCAAATTTCCTAGACGCAGTTAAAGGCACTTTCTGGTTCTCCCATCTCCCATCCGCCCCTCCCCCCTCAAGTGGGTACAGATCAGATATCAAGTTGCTAGGGATCTAAGCAACAAATGGCTGTCGCCATGGGCTGTTTCCTCCTTCCTCCCGCCCCTCTTAACATCCCCATAGGCCCCGTGCCAGTTCCCGCCCCACACGCGCTGATGCAGGAGTGTAGTTAGGACAAAGGAGACCTCCCTCGTCGGGTGGGGACAAGGGGGAAGGAGGAAGGAGTGTGGCTGGGGAGGGAGGAAGAAGGGAATGAAGTCACCCCGCTGACTCGCCACCCTGGGACAGCAGTCTGTCTGCATCTTCTCTACGCAGCCCCGGTCTCACCCACTCCGCAGGATCTGCACCCCACGGGTGGCCGGGTCTCAACCAGGGAGGTGGGAGGGTGTGCAGAACAGGAGACCGAGGCTTGAAGGAGCTCTAAGCGAGCTGGGGAGCTCGAGGTCACACGGCGGCCAGGCCGCGGCGCCCGCATGGACCAGGTCCCCGAACCCTTGTCTTCTGGTCCCTTTCGAGAACTCCGTAGGCTGGAGAAGCCCGGCAAACCACGGCTCCCGCCTGAGTTTGACTCCCGCTCAGCTACAGAGAAGCCGTCGGAAGTTTGGGGGCGGTGGCCCAACTTCGAGAGACTCTCCTGGGCGGCAGGCGCAGAAACCCGGGCTAGAGGTGCAGGGACCGGGCTTCGGGCACCCGGGGAGCCCGCGCACTCACCGACTCGGCCAGCAGGAGGCGGCCTTTGAGCGAGCAGAGGAAGGCGCGCGCAGGCAGCAGGGCGCGGAGCCCGGGCACGGTCCTGCCACTTCGGGGGCGGTCCGCGGACTCCGGATCGGGCTCCGGCTCTGCGTCCGGGGGCCACATAGCGGCGCTACCTCGTCGAGCCTCGGCCTCACTGCCTCACCCAGTGCCCTGGAGGGAAGCGGAAACCCGCTGTGCGGAAGGAGAAAAAGTGGAGTTAGACTAGGCCCCGGGACTCATCCTCGGCTGCCCCGCCTCCAGCACCTTCAATCCTCTCCCCCATCCCCACCCACAACTGCCCCTCGGACCCTGCTCCGCCCACCCTCCCGCCCTCCATTCTCCAACCACCCCCACAATGTCCCTGGGATACTGTCCTGCCCGTCTCTCCTCCCCCATCCTCCCTTTCCCATCTCCGCCTCCCCTACAGCCCTTCTGACTCTACCCGGCCCATATCCCGCCCCCAACCAACGCCACCCGCACCCCCACTACCCCTTAGACTTAGCCCAGTCTGTCTCTCCCCGCCTTCCATCCTTCTACTTCCACCCTCCGCCTCTCACTAGCCCTAGGATCCTCCCCCACCCATCCTTCATTCTCATTTCCCCCTTCGACTCTGCCGCGCCCACTTCCCCATCCATTGACCCCCTGAACCACACTGCCTCTCCGCCTATCCCTGGCCCTGCCCCACAATCTCCACCTCCCTACTACCTCTCCCCCAACATTCCCGTCCTCCCCATCCCCCCCCCCCCCGCCTCCTTTACCCTGCCCTGCCTATTTCCTGCCCCATTCTCCCACCCCTTTCCACACTGCCTTCTAGGGCCCACCTCCCCATCTCTCCCACTCCGCCCCTCCCCCTTGGATTCTGTACCCAGATCCTCCCAGTCCCCTCGGACCCCAGCAGCCGGGTGTGCTCTGTGCGGCCTACTGGCCTGGAGTTTTCTAGTATTGTTTGTCTCCAGGACCCAGACCCACTTATTGTCTCCCCTGAGCGCACCGAAGTGCCGACCACCTAACTGTCCCTTCTTAGCGACTCTGCTCTCTGTCTAAGCTTGAACTAACTTGGTGCCCTTACACCTTCCAGGAGCCTAGACATCTCGAGGGCAGATTGAAGAACCTGGTCCTCTCCTGGCTCGGCTCTAAGCAAGCTGTCAGCTCTTGCTGTGTCCCTACCGGAGTTTCCCCACTACTTCCCCGCCACCCTCCTGCAGGTCCTTGGCTAGCCCATCTTCCTTCTCAGCTCGGAGTTTCCCCGGTCATTTCCCTGGCCACACTCCCGTCAATTCTCAGCCTGTCCTCCTTCTGGCCTCTTTTGTTAACTGCCTGAGGCTTGGGTTCTTCCTGTGCTGGACTAACCAGAGATCTGGGAATTGTCCTTGTCCTCCCTCACCACTAGCCCATCACCGAGGCTCTCTTGCCACCCAAAAGTCCCACACTCCGGCTCCCTGAACTGTTGTGGGGCTCTTTAAGAGGCCTCTGCTTTCTTCCTTGTCAGCCAGATGTGCTTAAATCACTAATCTTGCTTCCTCCCACGGCCCCCTCACACAAATTGATGCTTCCTCATGCAAACAGACGCCACAGGGCCTTTGGACATCTGACCCTTCTAACCATGGGTGTGCACATGCGGACGTGTGTGTGTGTGTGTGTGTGTGTGTGTGTGTGTGTGAACATACTCTTGCGTCTAGGTGCTGCTAGGGGTCTCTTATTTTTTGAGACAAAAACCTCATTGGACTACAAGTGCATGGGAATTCCACAAAACTTACCTGGCCAATGAGCTCCAGATGTTTTGTTTCTGTCTTCCCAGAAATGGTATGGCCACTATATGTGGGATTCAACTCAGATCCAGCTGAGGTCCTCATGCACCAAGCACATTATTACACGAGCTGTCCTTCCATCTCCCATTACTACCGTCTTACCTGATGAAGCTTTTCTCCGCATTGATGGTAAGGCACTGTGATGTCTTAAGGACAACTTTCCCTACATTCCCTTGTACATCCGGAAGTGGTACAAGAAACCTAGGATGTGAGGAAGCCCCAGCTGCTTAGGGTAGGGGGCAGGTTGTACCAGGTAGCCCTAAATAGGATGAAAGGCAGGGTTGGAGAGATGGCTCAGCTGTTAAGAGCACTTGCTGCTCTTGCAAAAGTTCGATTCCCAGCACGCACACGGTAGCATACAACCATCTGTAACAGTTCTGGGTCAAGGAGTGGCCTGACACCTCCTTCTGGACTCTCTGGATACTTCATGGCATGGTACACTCACAACCATGCAGACAAAACACACATTAAGATAAAAATAAATAAAAATAGGGCTCAGTAGTTAAAGGCTAGGCTCACAATCCAAAAATTAAATAAAGTAAAGAGGAATCCTGGGACTTACTGGCTGGGTTAGAGGATAGCCAAGTTCACTAAAGAGAAAGGAGGACATTGGTCAGAGGCTGCCTGGGACAGGACTTGGAAGGATGAGACCCTGGTAGCCCAGTTTTCACTCACAGTACCCAAGGAGGACAAGTGAGGGGTCCAAGAGAGAGATACCCACTTCTGATTTGTGCTGCGAAAAAAAACCCGTGGCTGTCAATTGAAACTCAATAATGAGGGAATGGCCCAGAGATGCGAACAGGTAACTTACCAGAGGAGAATGTTAATCGGCACACTGTAAAGGGGGTGGGTGGGAGCAGGAGAGTTTCCTCAGCTGTTAGCAGTGACTACTGTTCCCTACTGATAATGACTAGGGTTCCAATTCCAGTACCCATGTGACAAGCCAAGCATTTCCCCTGGTATTTTTGACACCAACTCTGAGGTGGGCAGAGATGGGAGGGTCACTAGGCCTTTTTGGCTTCCAGCCTCGGGTAGAAACTGATACGCCTACATCAGGGAAAGACTGCCTCAAAGAACAGGTGGGGAGTGACAGAGGAGAACCCCGTGAAGCCCCTTCTGGCCTCCATGTGTGGAGTCACAAACGCCTGCACACACACTGGAAGGGTCCAAGGACACACTGAGGCGAGACCCCAGACTCAAAAGTATGCAAAAGCAAAGAGCGTAGCCATCAATACTATCAGAGATCCCAGAAAGATAAGTTATACCAGAGAACAGACCAAGCAGCTTTCTAATCTATTAATAATGTCAGCGACTAGTCCATACCCAGTTTGCTATACCCAGGTCTCCATAGCTTTGGAGGCAGAAGTACCAGAATAGTGGTCTTCACCAGGCCCACAAGATGAGAGTCTTTTCTGTGGAGGAACGTGGGTAAAACCAACCTCATTTTGTCTAGGCAAAAGGGTTTCCATCTATTCTCCAGTGTCTTGTTGCTTGTCTACAGTCTGGGCCAGGTCCTGACAGCAGATGTTACATTGGGACATCTTGCCCAATAGTCAGGGTTATTAAATCTAGGTGGGAACATTATGGTGCCCCATAATCTTCATTGGAGACCTTAGGTCACTGCCAGGATCTGGGAGTCTCTGTCTGATATCATAAACTTTTAATAAACATTTTAAATGCCATATTCTGCAGATCTATGAAGTAAGTATTTTTGGGCTACATAGGTATATTTGAATAGATAACCTTGTTTCTTATTTTAAGCTTAACTTTTGAAATAATATACAGGGAACTAAGAAAGTTTTATCCCTGTAATTAATTATATCAGTAGTATTTAGCATGGCTATAATTAACAAACGACCATTTATAAGGATAGATATTAACTTGTATTTCTTTTCTTTTCTTTTTTTTCTGAGACAGGGTTTCTCTATAGTTTTGGTGCCTGTCCTGGAACTAGCTCTTGTAGACCAGGCTGGCCTCAAACTCACAGAGATCCACCTGCCTTTGCCTCCCGAGTGCTGAGATTAAAGGCATGTGCTAACTTGTATTTCTTAACATTCTACATTAGGTTAGCAGCTTTGACCTTTTAATATAGTTTCCCATGTTGTGGTTGAAATTACCTGGCGCAAGCAAGAAGGAAACACGGAACACGCATCAAATCTACTTAGGAGTTTATTAGAGGGGCATGCACAGGCCTGGGAGCTCAGTGTTTAGAGAGAGGAAGATGGTGCGTCCAGCTTTTAAAAGCTGCCTAGTGCATGCGCACAGGGGTTTGACGTGGTTACGTCATACACAGATGATGGGGCTCATGAATGCCCACAAGGGCTTAGCTGAGTCATAGGGGGATGATGCAACCACTCGTGCACAAAGGGCTTAGCTGAGTCATATGTGGATCACACAGGGCCCTTTAACATCCCAGGGGGCCTTTAGGCACTTCTGCCTGATGCCTTGTCTGCACCTGCACGACCCCTAGAACCTGGAAGTATCAGCCTTATGTGGCTGAGATCATTACAGTGGTGACCCTCCACCCACACAACAATGTTCACGTTGCTGTTGTATTGTCGTTGTTATGAATCTTAATGAAAACATCTGACATGCAGATGGTCCTAGGCTATCCCTGTAAAAAGGTTTTTTAACCCCCAAAGGATCGCGACTCAGTGGACTGAGAAGCTGTTTCAAGCCCTTTGCCAGACTGTTTAGGTCATTGTCTAGCTGCATTACAAGAAATGAACATCCCAGTTTCTGGTTAGCATTTAGTGCTGATGGCTGTGACCCTTTATTTTAATTCCAAATATTAACAATATAAAACATTTTATAAGCGTGAATGTCTCATAGCTTGCCAGACTGTTTAGGTCATTGTCTAGCTGCATTACAAGAAATGAACATCCCAGTTTCTGGTTAGCATTTAGTGCTGATGGCTGTGACCCTTTATTTTAATTCCAAATATTAACAATATAAAACATTTTATAAGCGTGAATGTCTCATAGCCTTATAAATTTAAATATTTTTAAAATTAAAATCTCTTAAATGTCTTCCTGCAATATCAAAAATAAAGTATCTCTTTGGCCCCACCCTCGACAGCATATCCATAGCCTACCTTTTAGATCTCAGCCTGCTCCGTTTCACTGTATCTGGTGCTTCTAGTCACTATCACCTGGCACTGGAATTTCTAAAACGGTTACGGTCCAACCTTGTAACTGGGCTCTCTTTGGGACTCTAGTGCTGCCGTACATTTGCAAACCTGTTGGAGCCTGCTCCTACAAAATTAGTCATGGTACCTGGATCGGAGGGCATTAAAGTTAGGGAAAAGTCAGATGAAAGAAACTGAGGCAGAAAACACAGGATAGATTCGGGAAGTCTGTTTGGTTAAGTCAAAACAGCCAAACAGCCAAGAGTTTATTTCAGGACTTGCTTTTATACAGACTAGAGGCAGAAGGCAGGACAAAGAGCAGTACAGTCA